GAGGAGGAGGAAGACCAAGGGAAGGAGGCCCCGTCGCGGATCTGGACGCCGAGCTACGGGCCGCGGCCCCCGGGGGCCCCCTCCGACGAGCCTATAGCCCCCCCGCCCGACGGAGGATGCATTTCAGCGCCCTCCCACGCGAGATGGAAGGTACACGAGTGGGGAAAGGGGAGGGGGTTGCGGAAACGAAAGGAAAAAAAAGGGGAAAGGGTCCCAGGCTCGTCCCGCGCTCTTCCCGCGGATCCACGCCAACCCGCCAACACGCGTGACCCATTCCCCACGCTTTTGCTCCACGCCCGGGTCCCTTTTGCCGGTGTGTCTTCTAACCTTAAGCCAGCCACCCCACTTTCTTCCTCAATCCTCCCGCTTTCGTCATCTTCCCCTTTTATCTCAAAAAAAAAACAACCCACGCGTGGATCCCTCTCTTTAAAAACAAAAGCCAACAGGTACAAAACGCCCGCTCTTTGCCCAACTCTAAGGCTGGATCTACATTGCCCTGTATCCCCGTATTATTATGCCTATTATTTATATAGCCCAATATGAAGTTTAATAATAATAATAACACTTCATATATATTCCACCCCAAATATGCAGGACAACAGGTACAAAATGCCCACGCCTCGCCCAATTCTAAGGATGGAGCTACATTGCCCTATATCCTATTATTATTATTATTATTATTATTATTATTATTATTATTATTATTATGGCGGAATATAAATAAAGTGTTGTTATTAACAATAATAATAACATTATTATTGTTATTATTATTATTATTATTATGGCGGAATATAAATAAAGTGTTGTTGTTATTAACAATAATAATAACAACACTTTAATTATATTCCGCCCTAAACACGCGTGGATTCTTCTTTTTTTAAAAAGCCAACATGTACAAAACGCCCACTCCTCGCCCAACTCTAAGGCTGGATCTACATTGCCCTATATCCCATTATTATTATTATTATTATTATTATTATTATTATTATAACACGTTATTTATATTCCACCCCAAACACGGGTGGATCCTTAAAAAAAATAAGCCAACAGGTACAAAACGCCCACTCCTCGCCCAACTTTATTATTATTATTATTATTATTATTATTATTATTATTATTATTATATTACTATTACTATTACTATTATTAACACTTTATTTATATTCCGCCCTTCTCCCCAGGGGACACAGAGCGGTTTACAGCATATAAACAGACACAGGCAAAAATTCAATGCCTTGTTACAATGAAATACAATGACACACAAATACACAGGCAAAGGCTTCTCCTTTCATTTCCGAAATTAGGCTTAACCCAGTCAGTTCCTGTATCAAAATCTCCAAGCATTATGATGAATGGTCATTAGGGAATGCTCTAGCCAGTCTCCAAAGCTTGCTTCAATAGCCAGGTTTTCAACTCCTTCCTGAAAGGTGGAAGAGAGGGTGCTTGCCTTGTTTCCATGGGCAGAGCATTCCGGAGTCCACTATCCCAGGACCTGATCTCGGATCATCTGCATTCACCTGGGTTATCTAAGGCCCCTTCCACACAGCTATCAAATCCACATTGAATTGGGTTATATATATGGCAGTGTGGACTCAAATAATCCAGGGCCTTTCCACACAGCCATAGAACTCAGAATATCAAGGCAGATAATCCACAATATCTGCTTTGAACTGGATTAAGGGAGCTTGGCTAGTCCTGACTGCATTTCCCATCACCCCTGACCATAAACCAGGTTGCCTTAAGCAGATGGGAGGTGGATTGACACTAGGATGGATATTATTATTATTATTATTATTATTATTATTATTATTATTATTATTATTATTATTATTATTATTAAAGCCTTCCCTTCTTGATCAAATCCCAGCACCCGTGAAAGGCCTTCAGCGGGGAAGCATTGAGCCTTGGAGGTTCAAGTGGAGTCAAAACAGCATTCATTCGACAGTGTAGACGCCCCCTCGAAGATCAATATCAAGATGCATTCATGATATGTATATGGGATCCCAATGGTGACGACATTCCTCCAGATTATATATATATATATATAGAGAGAGAGAGAATATAGTGTGTGTGTGTGTATACACACACACACACACACACACACATATATACTATATATATAACATAAAGAGAATATAGTGTGTATATATTCTATTTATACTATATATAACATAGCATATATATTCTATGTATATAGCAATAATATATATAACATATATATCATGTTATATACAGAGATATATATTATAACATATATTATTTTTATTATATAATATCTATTAAAATCGAATATATATTTCATTTCTATAAGCGACTAGGAAAGAATCTATATAATGTATATATAATGTAACATATATACAATATTATATATATAGAACAATATAAAAGCCGGTTGCGTACCAAATGCTCGCGGAAGGGCGCATCTGCACTGTCGAAAGAATGCGGTTTGATGCCACTTTCTGGTGGCTGGATGCGAGGGAATCCAGAGAGCTGTGGTTTTTACACAGCTGGTTCAAGACGTTCAGTAAAGATGTAAAAGGCGATGTCTTAAAGCACACGACTTGTTCAGAATTATTATTATGATTATGATTATTATTATTATTATTATTACTACTACTACTACTACTACTACTCCAAATCTTCCATTATCTGGAGGGATTCAGGAAGACAGTGCTGAGGTTCCCCTTTTTATCTATGCTTCGGATTTCAATCCAATTCCAATGATATAATAATAATGGCAATAATAATAATAATAATAATACATTTAAAACCCATGTATTTCTTTTTCTAGTAATAATAGGAAAAGCATGCACTCCTTTTTCTATTAATAATAATAAGGAAAAATCGTACAGTATCATTTTTTCAAATAAGAAAAGCATACTCTTTTTTCTAATAATAATAATAATAATAATAATAATAATAATAATAATCCTTCTAATAAGAAGGAAAACATGCATTCCTTTTTCTAATAATAATAACTCCTTTGTCTAATAATGATAATATAAAAGAATGCACTCGATTCAATAATACTAATAATAGGCAGTCTATGCACTCCTTAAAGTAATAGTAATAAGAAAGCGTACTACTACTACTACTAATAATAATAATGGCAGGAATATTATGCATTCCTGCTACTGCTACTAGTAATGCCATCACGTTCTCCCTTTGACTAAGAATAAAAAAGCACACTCTCTAATAATAATAATAATAATAATAATAATAATAATAATAATAGATTTATATTCAGCCCTATCTTCCCGAAGGGACTCGGGGTGGATAATAATAATAATAATAATAATAATAATAATAATAATAATAATAATAATAATAATATGCATTCCATTGTATCATAATCATAAGGAAAAATAATATAATCAGGGCCCTTCCACACAGCCATATAACCCAGAATATCAAGGCAGAAAATCCTACGCTATCTGCTTTGAACTGGGTTGTTTCCGTCCACACTGCCATATATTCCAGTTCAAAGCAGAAAATGTGGGATTTTATTCAGCTGTATGGAAGAGGCCTCCTTCTTTTCCTAATCAGAATAATAATCTCCCGAAGAAACCAGAAAAGAAAAAGAAAAAAACCAGAGAAGAAAGCTGGGGGCGGTGGGTGGGAGGAGCCTCGTGGAGTGGGCGTGGCGAGGGGCGCCGGCAGGCAAGAGTCAATCAATCAGCTGGAGGGGGAAAAGGTCTGGGTTGCTGTGAGTTTTCCCGGCTGTATGGCCATGTTCCAGAAGCATTCTCTCCTGACGTTTCGCCCCCATCTATGGCAGGACATCCTCAGAGGTTGTGATTGGAAACTAGGCAAGAGGGGTTTATATATATACCTGTGGAATAATGTCCAGGAGGGTGGGAGAAAGAACTCTTGTCTGTTTGAGGCAAGTGTGAATGTTGGTCAATGGAGACTCCAGCATAGACATCAGAAGACCTGCAAGACCAAGAAGAAGCCACGAGAGGAAAGACAAAGATCCACCCAGAGGGAAAGGGTTCTTCCCAGACCTCAAGGGAACCCCTGGCTCTGGCTGCAGAGGGAAGCTGAGGAAGAAACACAACCTACAAACGATCTACAGACCCACCAAGAAAATCCAGCCAATGTTCTGTTCAGCAAAGGGCAAGAGGGTCCTCTCACCTCTGCAGGACTCTCCCGTATACCAGGCAGCTGTGGACAAGTCTCCAAAGGGGTCACCGGATGCAGCAGCAGCAGCATTGCCCAGACACGAATCAAGGAACAGGAAAGGCACTGCAGACTGATCCAACCAGAGAAGTCAGCCATAGCAAAGCACCCGATGAACCAACCCGAACACAGCATATGATTGGAGAGCATGGACTTTCTGGGCATCATGTCAAACTACACAGAGAAGCCTCTGAAATCCACAAGCATATGGGAAATTTAAATAAAAAAGAGGAAACCATGAAAAGGAACAAAATCTGGCTCCCAGTATTTAAAAAAAACAAAACTCCAAAATTAGGACAGTAAATAAAGAGTACCATTTAAAAAAACTTGGAAATTCCAGACAGGAAACAATCAGGGCCAGCTAACACCTCCCAACAAAGGATCCCCCAGGCAGCCAACAGACAGGCTTTGAAGCAGCAAGGCCATTCAATGCTAATCAAGATGTCCAATGGCAACATTCCCACTTGCCTCCAACAGACAAGAGTTCTTTCTCCCACCCTGGACATCATTCCACAGGTATATAAACCCCACTTGCCCAGTTTCCAGCGGACTTCACAACCTCTGAGGATGCCTGCCGTAGATGGGGGCGAAACGTCCCTAGGAAATGCTTCTGGAACATTGCCAGAGAGCCCGGAACACTCACAGCAACCCAGTGATCCCGGCCACGAAAGCCTTCGCCAACACATTGGGGGGGAAAAAAGGTCTGCTTGAGAAGCGGCGCGCGCTACGATGGGGCGGGGGGAAGAGGAGAGAGCACGAGGGGAGGATTCGCTGAAGGGGCGGGGCGGTGGGAGGAGGGGGCGGGGCCAAAGCGGGAGAAAAAGAGCGGGCGGGAAGTGGACTGGAAGGCGGAGAGAGAAAGAGAGCGAGAGCGAAAGAGAGAGGGAGATAGAAGGAGATAGGGCCAGGCGCGCTCACGCTCGGGGGAGGCTGAAAGCGCCTGCGCGCGGCGCGCGGGCTTCCCCGACTATATAAAGCGCGCGCGGGGCTGCCTGGCTATATATATAGACTGACAGACCGAGGCTGGGAAGCGCGCGCGCCTGACTCGAGGGGCTTGAAAAGCGCCTGCGCGCGCTGACTGAACTGACTCCAAACCCAACTGGCGGCGGTGTAAAAAGCTGTCTTTTCTCGCCATGATTTCAGCCATCTCCAGCCCGTGGCTGACGCAGCTCTCGCACTTCTGCGACGTGGCGGCCTTCACGGCCAACAGCCTGAGCAGCCTCAACGCGGCGGCGGGCGGCGGCGGGGGCTACCACCACCTTTCCCCGTCGCCGGGGGACCCTTACGGCCAGGCCGAGCCGCCTCCTCCGCCTCACTACGAGCCCTGCTCGGCCCAGCAGCAGCAGCAACAACACCCGCCGCCGCCTCAGCAGCCGCCGCCGCCGCACCATAGCAGCCAGCCGCCGCCTCAGCCGCCACCTCACGGCTATGGCTTCGCGGGAGGCGCGGGTTCGAACCCGGCCTCGGCGTCGGGGGCCGAGACGCCGGAAGAGAGCCGAGGAGGAGGAGGAGGCGGAGGAGGAGGAGGCGGAGGGGGCGGGAACAACAACAACAACGGAGGCTCGGCGCCGGCCAAAGCCCCCGTCAAGAAGAACCCCAAAGTGGCCAACGTCAACGTCCAGCTGGAGATGAAGGCCCTCTGGGACGAGTTCAACCAACTGGGCACCGAGATGATCGTCACCAAGGCCGGCAGGTCAGTTTGGGCGGCTCGGAAGGCTTCCGTTTTGCCTCCTGGGGCATCACAACCTGATGAATGGACCTAGAACAGCAGATGTTGCTCCACATCACAACCCGAACTGTTCTGATGCAAAACTCCCCTTCAGCAAGAAGGCCCTTCCACACAGCCCTATATCTCAGTATATCAAGGCAGAAAATCCCACAATATCGGCTTTGAACTGAGTTATTGGACTCCACGCTCAGATAATGTGGGATTTTCTGCCTTGATATTCTGGGATATAGGGCTGGGTGGAAGGGCCTTTTTGCTGAAGGGGAGTTTTGCATCGAGGACAGTTCAGGCTGCGATCTGGAGCAACTTCTGCTCTTCTAGGTCCATTCATCAGGTTGTGATAACCCAGGAGGCAGAACTTTTTGACCCAGGAGGCAAAACTGAGTGGAAGGGTCCAGAGTCACCATCAATTTGGACACATTGGCGCCTTCGTTGTATCCAGGCATCTAAACCAGTTTGGAAACAAATCAGGGTTTGGCTTCGTGGCCCATGATTTTAAACTGTTTATAACTGTCATTCCAGTCATTGAATCTGAAACTACGTAGGTTGCCTTCCAGAGGACCTCTGGCTTCTCTGACGTTCCACAGAAGCAAAATCCTGATTTTTCCCCAAAATGGTTTTGATGCCTGGGTTAAACGATGGCGCCAATTGTACCAATTGATGGTGACTCTGTTGAAGGGTAGTTTTGTGTAGAGGACAGTTCAGGTTATGATCTGGAGCAACTTCTGCTGTTCTAGGTTCATTCATAACGTTTTGATGACACAGGAGGCAAAACGTTTTGACCCACCACAGGCCTGGGCCAACTTCGGCCCTCTCTCCTGCTGTTTGGACTGCAACTCCCACCATTCCGTTAGGAGTGGTAGGAGTTGCAGTCCAAAACACCTGGAGGGAGGGCCGAAGTTGGCCCAGGCCTGCTCTACGTAGACCATTTATAACACTATATTATAATTCCTGGGTTATCAGTGTCATTTCCTAATCGTTTCTGTCAGACGTTTTGCTCAAGTTTCACATCATGGAGGCCTTTTCCACACAGCCGAATAAAACCCCACATTATCTGTTTTGGACTGGGATATATGGCAGTGTGGGCTCAGATAACCCAGTTCAAAGCAGATCTTGTGAGATTTTCTGCCTTGATATTCTGGGTTATAGGACCTAGAGTCTCAACCAGTTGGTCAGAGGCCCCTTCTCCACTGCCATATCATCATGATAATAATGTTTATTATTTTTTTTACCCGCCTCTCCTCCAAGCGGTTACGGAATAATTAAAACAGCACCAAAGTACTCCAGATCCACATATTAAAACGGTATCTCTATCAAAAGCAACATATCAAAGCGTATAATAATAATGAGAATATAATGTAATACAATACTACTACTACTAACAATAATAATATAGAATAATAATATTGTAATATAATAATACTAATATGTTAAATAGAATACGACAGATCATATATAATGGTCAATAATGATATACTGTTTTATTATTGTCTGTTCATATATTTGAAGTTGGATGTTGGAATGTTTTTTATTGTGACCCGCTTTGAGTTTCCCTATCTAGAGACAACAAAGCAGGATATAAATAAATGAATAATAAAATGTTTCTGTAAAATATGTATTCAAAGACACACAACAGAGATGAAACACAAGGCACGCATTTCGAATCCATGCTTACAGACTGGCTGCCGGGAGAGAGGGGCCTTTAGATGGTTTTTAAATTCCCACAGCTCAAAGCAGATCATCCACATTTCACAGGAGCCTCCAGTGGCGCAATGGTTTAAACCCTTGTGCGGCAGGAGTGCTGACGAAAAGGTCCGGGGAACGAGGTGAGCTCCCCTCTGCCAGCTCCAGCTTCCCATGCGGGGACATGAGAGAAGCCTCCCACAGGATGGTAACTCATCCGGGCGTCCCCTGGGCAACGTCCTTGCAGACAGCCAATAGACTTGCTCCTGACACGAAAAAAAATTCACTTTTCATCGAAGTAGTGGATTGTCCTGTGAATACGAGAATTATGTCTCTATTGCAAGACATCAGGCCAATCACATTTTCTTTCTCCTGCTCTTCTTACTAATGAGTAGCTTTGGAGTTCTGATCGAGCACTGTTTACCAAAAACTGTCAAAGCGATAATCTCACAATAAATCCTAAATCTGAAAAAAAGCAAATCATCCCCATTCTTTGCTTTGAACCGAATGATATGAGTCTACACTGCCACATAACCCAGTTCAAAGCAGATCATGTGGATTTTATCTGGCAGCGGAGAAGGGGCCAGAGTTTGTGGCAGCCACCAAAACAAACAATATGAGGGACAATGGTAAAAGGTCATAGGGGAGAAAAGAATATGGTTTCAGAAAGTAGAGAGTATTTTTTTAAAAACTAAGGACAGAAAATGCCCTTAAACGTTAGCTTTCCATCTCCTGAACATAATCGATCTATCAGCAGCCTGCTTACTGTTTCAGTGGCAAGGACGAGTCTTAGGGCGTTTTTTCCCCTTAGACGTTTAAACCATTTTCTCCCCCAGATTGTACATAGTCACAAACATACAACTATTTTGGAGGGAGAATTGCTGAAAGCTTCGAAAAGTGCCATATCATCTAGTTTCTGAATCCAGTTTATCTGCCTTGAAGTGGATTACACTATAGAACACAATTTTTGTTCCTGGGTTGGAATAGGGGGAGCGGGATGAGCTCCGGTCTGTCAGCTCCAGCTTCCCATGAGGCGACATGAGAGAAGCCTCCCACAGGATGGTAAAACACCCGGCCATGCAGAAGGCCAATTCTCTCACACCAGAATTTGGCTAACAACAACACAATTTGAAACTAAACCCATGCAACAACAATAATAAAAACAGTTCAGTATTAGTGTATGGGTATAAAGTCTAAACACAATGATAAAATCCAATAAATGCCATTAAAATGCCATTTCAAATTCACCATCTCTCCCCCAACTCCCAAATTTCACCCACAACCTCCCCCCAAAATGCCTCCTAGCACAAAAATGCCTTTACCAGCTTGCCCATTCAGAAAATTGCACTGGATAGACTGCATCAGTTCTCCTTTTTTTGGTTGTCCTGGTTTTCTATGGGGGATTGGTAGATGACATATGTTGTGTATCTGAAAAAATAGAGGTTAGAGGGGGAAAGGGGTGCCAGTTTTGGAATTAGCAGGTCAAATATGCCCAGACGCAGGGGTAAAGTCTGAAGCACCAAAATGTCTGTTGGCCTGTTTGACATCACTTGAACTGCCATGGCATCCTGCTATGGAATCATGGGAGCTGGAGTTCGGTGAGGCACCAGCATTCTTTAGCAGAGAAGGCTACAGACTTTGTGGAACTACAACTCCCCAAATTCCATTGCATTGTAGCAGTTGAAGCCGTGTCAATTCTACAGTATGGATTCTACTCTGCCGACAAACTACAATTTCCAGTCCTCCATAGCCTGGAGCCATGGTGCTTGATGTCAGTGTCGAAGGACAACCACTGGATATAGCCCTAATCTGGTATATCATTCCAGAAGTGGCTGTTGGTCGTTATTATTGTTTGGCTTCATTCCTGGACTGCACAAGTCTCTTGTGTCACCAAGTTTCCAGTCCTCAATGAGTAACTAGACTAGAGATAGGATTAGGCTGAGGGATTCCTCCCCCACATTCCTATGCATGTTTACTAAAAGGGCTTTGTCTTTACTTATAGTACTCTGCTATATTTATGGTGGAATCACAACAGCTCAGATTCCCCAACAATATTATTATTATTATTATTATTATTATTATTATTATTATTATTGGTAGTAGTATTATTCAGAGTGGGCCAAAAATCACAAAGGGTTTCAATACTAAACAACTTCTTGATTTTGGTTAGTAATTTACAGTTCACACTTAAAGTAAATTTATTTCCTACTACTACTGTGTGTGTGTATACACACACACACACACACGTATGTGTATATATATACACACACACACATGTATATATACTGTATATGTATATATTGTATATGTATATACATGTACATATATGTACATATATATGTGTATATATACTGTGTGGCACTCCATGCAGTCATGCCGGCCACATGACTTTGGAGGTGTCTACGGACAATGCCGGCTCTTCGGCTTCGAAATGGATATGAGCACCAACCCTCAGAGTCAGACAGGACTGGACTTGATGTCAGGGGAAAACTTTTATCTTTACCTACTGAATATGATGCCACGCTTATTGATGCATTGCTTTTCTCTCTGGAGTGAAACTGAGAAGTATGCTAAAGCTGATGCATGAGAGGAAGTAGACCAAGGATGCTCCCATTTTTTTCTTTCCTGCTGGATCTAAGTTGGAAACTGCATTGTATGATCAGTGTAGACCCATACCAATGCAGTTCGAACTTCATTGCATGCTCAGTGCAAATCTAGCCTCGGTGAGGGTGCGTCCAAGCTGTAGCATGAATGCAGTTTGACACCCCTTTCACTGCCATGGCTCAAGGCTATGGAATCCCAGGAGTTGCGGTTTGACAAGGTACTTCCCTTTGAATTGCCCTGAGGAAGTGCGACGGGATCCGGGGAGTTGTGGTTCTGTGCGGTCTTTGGGCTGCTCTGCCAAGGAGGGCTGCACCTCTGGTGGATTCCCTCGCCTGGAGACCCGGGGGTGTCAGAATGTAACCATTCCACAGTGCAGATGCGCCCGGAGTCTCCAAAGTCCTACAAAATCCCTTCGCATAGCGAGATTCCAGGCTAACCCTGGCTTTGCCTGGTTTCCCGTGGAAAGCACCTGCTGCTCTGGAGACGGGGACACCATGGAGCCATGGATTCAAAGGGCAGGAAAAGAGGTCCCGCTTCAATTTTAGTTAAGGAGAACTTCCTGACGGCGTAAGCTGTTTGGAAGCAGAAGATGGTGTGGTGGAGGCTCCTTCTCTGGCTGGGTGGCTGTTTGTCTCTCTGTCGGGGTGGGGTTGATGGTCGAATGGGGTCGGATTCCAGCC